GGCTTTGACTTTGAATAGTAGCTGTACCCATTATCTACGTACAGGTATTGGAAATCGTTGGTGCATGGACACAGCCTTGCCTCATCCCTGAATTAACAGGGTAGTTCGACAGGCCCTACCATACTTAAAGCACTTTCACTACCAGTATATAGGCTAGCTATTGGTCCAATAATCCGAGTCATAATTCCCCTAAGTCTCAGGATCTCCAATAGCGATTCTCGATGCACCGAGTCAAACATCTTCTTGAGGTCGATGTAGGCTGCAAACAACCCACGATCCAACTAACGACGGTGTTCTATTGTGGACTTGCCAGGAGTCTCTGGTGCCTCAGTAGGTGGTCACGGATCCGTTTCAGAATAATATGGGCGAAATTCTTGCCTGGTATACTGAGCAGTGTAATACCAGAGGGATGAAAACGCCTATCAACAGGGCATGGGGAATGGGATCAGACTGCCTGATGGCAGTCAAGACTGTATACAAACCCCGTGCCACAGGTTCACCCCAAACCTTTAGCAATTTAGCAGGGATATCACATATACCTGCGGTTTTCCCACCCTTCAGTTTCGTAATCGCCCTCTTAACCTCAGTCAGGTATGGTGATACCACTTGCATCTAAACTAACTGTTGGAGGGTTTACCTGGTACAGCTGCTCAAAATACCCATTTTTTTCTAACCCCACCGTCAGTACCATCATTATTACCAACCCAACTTTTATTATCAACATTACCATCAGCATTATTACCATCAACAGCATCACCCTAAGAGCGACGAATCCCACGGCAAAACGACCGAGCCACGCCACTCAAGGCATGTTACCGCAGCCGCACGAAACCCGGAAAGGTCTACCATGGAGAAAAGCGGCGTTGAGTTTGGAGTTCGTGAAGCAAAACCAAAAACTTTCTTAATTGTAAAAAACGACTTTCTCATCTAAAGTAATCTTAAAACAGTATTTATATGGTTCATCTTTCGACCGTCCACCACGTTGCTACCAAGGGAGATTGCCCTTGGCCACGCTAATTTGCATATCGTATATGTGCTGTACTTCTTTGTGTTTTGACCCAGCCTGCTGTCGCCATTTCAGCGTCCTAAGTACCGTTGTTATTTTTTTTCTCATTAACATTATCATTCGCTCAGTATTATTATAATCAGCGCCACCATTATTATTATCCTCATCACTGCCATTATCATCATCATTGTTGTCATTTTGATAACATATATTATCTTATATTATCTATAATTTTTGCTGTTATTAGCATTAGTATTACTATCGTTATCAGTGGTATCATTATTGATTTTATTACTGACGTTTCTGATTATTAATATCACTGTTATCACCATCCTCTTCATCGCCATTGTGACTTTTTGAAAATTATTATCATTATCATTATCACTGTCGCTGTTATAATTGCTATAAGTATTATCATTGAGTACCACTTTCATTAATATCACCCTTACTCACTGCTGCTATATCTTCATTATCATTATTACATTTATTTTCATTAACATTAATATCGACGGCATGATTTTCATTATCTAACTTGCAGAATCATATCTAATAGGCCTAAGCAGAATATAACAACATAACAAAAACTTTATACTTTGACATAACAAATACATCACTATCCTAAAATAAAAACAGAGAGACATACACTACCTTAAAATAAAAAACAGAGAGAAGTAATTAACATCCCTAAACAAGGAAGAACCAATAACACCACAAGACATCGAAGCCGCTTACCGTTAACCCCCAGCCACTGCTTGATGTGGAAGTTCTCCTTGGCCGATTCTATGCACGCAAGAGACACGCCCTTCCCGAACGAGTGGCAGAACTCCGAGGCGCGGTACCAGTTCAAGGGGAAGTACCCGTAGAAGTAGCACCTGCCCCCGATCTCGTGGAAGGCCATGGGACAACTGCGGCCGGATTTGTTCCATATTCCTGCGGGGTGAGAGGAAGGGTCAGAGGGGGACAACACCGGGTCTTATTGTATGCTGTTGAATCGGTGTTCGGAGTTGGGTTTGATTTCTATTGTTTGTTTTTTTCTGTTATGGTTGTTGTTGTATAAATTGCGCTCGTAAATGTATGACAGGTAACCGATTCGTATGGGATAGGTCTATTTTGTTTTCTGTTGTGCATGGTGCATGGCGTACTGGTAAAAAATGCATGCTGACTGCCTGAGTCTTTTGGACATGGTTGTCCCATGTGTTGCTGTGAATTGCATTTCAGTCCCATGACCGGGCGCCAAATGTGCCCGATTCTACGACCTTGTGGCAGGCGTGAAGTTAACCGAAGTCTTTGTGGCTGTGTGGCAGGCGTGCAAGTCTTCTGCTGGGTGACAGCTGAACCGTAGTGACCGTTGCAAGGGCAAGGTTCTTCTGCCACTGGAACGTGAACCAACAAACACTCATTTTATATGCAACCTTTACCGGAGGTGGGTTTTGTGAGAGCGAATATTTGCAGGTCAGTTCACATGTTTGAAACAACTGTTCATTTTCCATGTAAGGTGTGTGTGTGTGTGTGTGTGTGTGTGTGTGTGTGTGTGTGTGTGTGTGTGTGTGTGTGTGTGTGTGTGTGTGTGTGTGTGTGTGTGTGTGTGTGTGTGTGCGTGCATGTGCATGTGCGTGTGCGTGTGTGTGTATGTGTGTGTGTGTATTATACAAACACATACGCACACGTATTGATAGATTAATAAATAAATATGTACAGAATCTTATATGTGTGTCAGTGTGATAGAAGAAGCAACCGAGACGAATAAGACTGAGATGCTGATAAAGGCGTTGCCAAGATTATGGCTGGCTGAGCATCCGGGCGGAGTCGCACCTGCTGGCTCAGGTTCGGCTGCGTGCGTGGTGGGGGAAGGACAGACGCACTAAGGAACTACCGATGATGATGAACTGAGAAGAATGCGCTGTGTGAAGTACAGGTGTTACATATTGAGTACTTGCATGTGGTGTGTTCTATGCATGGGAATCACTGGTAGAGTACATAATGAAACGTCTTAGGCCACAAATCGTAAAAAAAATATAGATTCGCAAGGGTTTGTATTTTTTTCTCTCTCTTTTTTATGTCGAGACGTAGAGGCTGAAAAGGGGAGAAGCCAGAAAGCTGCAGCAGGTGGAAATGGTGGCGGATGTGTGGTCATGTGGTCACAGTTAGTGATGTGGTCAACGGTAAACCACACTAAATGTCCACAAACAGGGATCTAGTTCAAGGAAAACTGATTAGTTATTAGCGTGTGTATCCAAAACATGTTTTTTTTTTCTTTTCATTCCTTCCACAAAACACGCAACACGTATTATAGGCCTATTTTGTTACTATTATAATTATGAACAGCTATTTGTACTTAACGCTCCATTGAGAACATAATAGAATGTGATTACCTGTCATTACCTGTTGTAGAGACAAACGACCTTGGGCTGAGTTTCCGCTTCCTGATAAGGTTACGGGTCAAAGATTATACTCAGAATTGATTAACGCTGAAGGTCTTATCTGCTCGATGCAGTACTGGATTCCTTATCATATTCGAAATAGCGGTTGTATTTATCATCTGGAAAGCTGTCAGTTCCTCACAAAAAGTTTAAATCCACCTAACCTATTATCCATTTCTCTCCATTTCAAGAATGTAAGAAAATTATAATTACCATCATTAGTTTTAAAAAATACGCAAAGAAAAAAATCATTCACCTCAAATAACACAGTGGCCCTAAAACAATAATGTACCCCATTGTCCTCCCTCCCTCACTGATTAAAAAAAAATGTGCAAAACAAAATTCGCATGAAAAATACCCATTCATAATCTCGTAAACACATGTTCAGGTCAACACTTACAATAGCGACCCTCATTTTGCATAAAACTGCAAAAAAACATAGTGGTTGGCATCAGTCGGAACATCATTAGGAGATATCAAACATGTTTTAAGTTTCTTCAGAGCATAAACCGCCACATGCGCGTGCCAGTTAGTGTTTGTACTCGCACATGTGATTGGCAAGCCGGGTAAACATGTGCTGACTGTACGCAGCATCAGTCTTGCGATGACCCAGTTAACAGAGCGCGTAACTGGCGTGCTGTGATGCTAAGTGTGCATGTCCACCGCAAATCCGGTCGGCTATTTTTGTTCTTGACGTCTACGCTGTCACGTGTGTAATTGTTCGACTGTTCTTTTGTTGTCTTTGGTTTATATGCGTGTGCGTGCGAACGTGTTTTGTGCTTGTTAGTATACGCACGCTCGATTTGAGACCTTTTACGATAGGGAAATAGAACCGAATGCTTCATATAGACACAAGCATTTTCATTCGTTCATATACGCACGCACGCACGTACGCATACACACACACAGACAGACACACACACACACACACACACACACACACACACACACACACACACACACACACACACACACACACACACACACACACACACACACAGTAACAAACAAAAACACGGCCCATCGCGCGGGGCAGGCAGGTGCGTGACAGCGAGTGACGGGACCAGGAATGTAGGGTAAGCCGTCAGACGGAGCGACCGCGGGCCAAGTGCGGACTACGTGCCGCCGGCGGGGAAGGTTCCGTTGTTTAATTGCGCTAAATGCCTCTTGATTTCCGCAATTGTCACTTCCGCGCGATCGAATTTCACCCGTTTTCCCCCGCGTGCCGAGATTCGACATGGCCGAGTCGAAATTCGCCAAGGAGAAACAAAGCAGAAAGTGGAAGGAATTACATATACTACTTTTTGCAAACAGGGCCGTGTAATGGCGCGATAAATGGCTCAATTAAGTGGTTATCGTCCTGCGTTTTTGGAGCAACTCGCAGGTCTGAGGTTAATTGTAATGCTATCTGGGAAATTGTTTTACTGTTTCTTCTTTTGTACAGAGAGAAAAAGAGAGGGAAGGAGGTAAAGACGAAGGGAGAAGGGGGAAAGGAGAGTGAGTGAGTGTGTGTGAGTGTGTGTGTGTGTGTGTGTGTGTGTGTGTGTGTGTGTGTGTGTGTGTGTGTGTGTGTG